TTTTTCACGGTTGCCAGGGAAACCTCCAAAAGGATTTCGACGTAGATTTTTTTAAAAAGCGTCTCATGGGTTTACAACTTCTGGTCAAGTTTCATTGAAATCGATTCATTCGTTTAGACAGTACGATATTTTTTGTGATTTTGGAAACCCTATTCACTTAATAAAAGGAAATATTTCTATCGAAATTTTTATATATTTTTATTTTTTTAATTTATTTTTTGTATTTAATTTTATTATTTTAATATTTTGTTATTTTTATTTAATTTTCATTTATTTATTAAAATTTACTTTTACTCATTTTTATATAATTTTATTTATTTTTATATTTATTTATTTTTACTTACATTTTTTTTATTTTCTTTAATTTATTTTTATTTTTATATAATTTTATTTATTTTTACTTACATTTTTTTTATTTTCTTTAATTTATTTTTATTTAATTTTATTTATTTTTGTTTTTTATTTATTTTGATTAATTTTAATTTATTTTAATTTATTTTAATTTATTTTAATTTATTTTAATTTATTTTAATTTATTTTAATTTATTTTAATTTATTTTAATTTATTTTAATTTATTTTAATTTATTTTAATTTATTTTAATTTATTTTAATTTATTTTAATTTATTTTAATTTATTTTATTTTAATTTGTTTTAATTTATGTTCTTTTACTTTATCTATAATTTAATTTTATTTTTATTATTTTTAATCATTTTTATTTAGTTATATTTTTTAATTTGTCTTTATTCAGAAAGTACAAATTTGAATCAAACTTTAGTCTATATATTTTACTTATCTTATGGCCAGGTTATGTATTTTGTCACAAAATACATAATTTATGAGAAAAATTTATATTTTTATTAGTATTATTTACCTTAAACCTTCATATTTGTAAACGAATATATTACAAAATAACCAATAAAGTTTAAGTAACTGCATAAAATCTAAAATTGGTAAAATATCGAATTTTAAACACTATCTTCCATTTATGCTTATAATTCTATGTCCCACGTGACGTCACCGTCAGTCAGTTACATGCGCAGGAACATACCGTTAGTCTGTGTATCGTGAGTCCACATAGGAACATTGGTATTTAAAAAAATTATATCTCGTAATTTTTAAAACATTAACGTACATTAAGTATTTTAAATTTCTACGTCTTCAAATAATATTAATAAAAATGTGAGGAGCAGGGGCCCAAGAAATGAATCTGGGATTTGTTTAAAATAATTTGACGCAAATATTTGATGTTGCACGTACTGAATTTAAAAACGGTTATATTTAGAAATAATTCTAAAAAGAAATTAAGAAAGTTGCAGTATTATAAATACGTGTTAATAATTAATAATACTCCGCTGATATTTCCAGTATTAGGTCTTAACGTCAATCTCTAATGAGGCCAATGACTCGATAATCGATTGTCTTCGATACAAAGGCGTTTCAAGGGGCGTGTTCCGAGGCTAATTCCAATTTTATACGACCTCTTTAGCACGCACTTATTTGATACCTAATTGATAAACGAGCTATAATAAATTTCTAAGCAGCCAGATAAAAAGATATATATTTTTCGTTTATTAGATAATTCGATGTTTTATTTGGATGCTTACAGTCTTTCAGAGCTGGTGTTCTATTAATAATTGTAGATGTAAGAGTAACCTTAATCAATATGACTTTGATATCTCAAATACTTTTTGAGTTATAATAATAATGTTTATTCAGATAATGATACACCAATATAAATACAATTTAAAACAATAGAAGCAATCACAGAAGCAGTCTAAACTGCTTATATGTAATAAAGTACCAGTCACTGACACTTGGATTCTGCGCAGTATATAATTTGGAGGTCGAAATAATCAACTGCGCAGAATCCTGGTGTCAGTGACTGATTTCTGATCGTTGTTGGAACAGACCTAAACATAACACAGCATTAAACATAGGTACATGAAACATTAAATGGGTCTGTGTAATGTCCTTATAAAACCCAACAACAAAGAACAAGAATGAATTTCAACATTTTTTATAAATTGTTATAAAAATCTTAAAAAATTATAAAGTAGATATATATGTTTTTTTTGACATAATTACGATTGTCTTTAATGAATTATCATTGTCGTGTTTAGTCGAATAGGAAAAAATACAAATTTAGGTAAACACATTTTTAAAGTGAAGCCAGATTTTTTGTCTATTTTTGTATCTACTGTACTAAGGAATGTCCTTTATTTCTTGATATACCAAAATAAAAATTCTAGGAGCCAGGTAATCACCACATCTTTGGCCAATACTTTTTTCTGATCGCAGAAATAAAATAGCTTCAATGTCGACGTGTATTGTAGGGATGGTCATGAGATAATAACGTAATTTTAGATTTCTTCAAAAATAATATTTATAAAAAGTATAGCTGTTTTCATATCATATTTATTAGAATTTTCGTAAAGTGCATTATTGGGGTATAAAATCTTTTTGTAAATTATTCTTAAAATCCATTTTTGTATTACATGAACCTCTTTCAATGTGTTATTATACACACCTCCCTAACCAATGATGCCGGATACTAATAAAGACTGTATTAAAGAAAAATAAAGAGACCTCAAGCAATGTATATTTAGAAAGTTACGATATCTAAATTTTGGTAAGAACCCTTTTTTTGATTAGTCAAAATGAAAGTCCCATTTCATATGCCTGTTCACAATAATCCCTAAATATTTAATTGATGTAGACTTCGTTATGCAATCCCATATTTAATGGACCCAATGTGGAAGGCCTATCGCATAAGAAGAAAATGATAAGTATCTAGTTTTCTGATAATTTAGTGTTAATTTATTAAACGTATCCATTTAGATATTTTAGGAAAATCTCTTTCTACTTTTTTTTTTCAGGTCCTTCATGGAAGATGAAGAGTACAGAACAGCAGTATCATCATTGAAACTAATAATTTTAGCGGACATATCTAAGTGTAGTAGACTATTTATGTAAAGTGTAAAAAAATAGGTCCCAAAATAGTACCTTGTGTGCATCAAGGGTGTTTGTTGTTATTAACATTATCAATTTGCACACTGTTCTCTATTTGATATATAACTTTTGAAGATCGTGAATGTTTTTCCACGAATTCCATAATTTTTCGTTTTTTTCAACAATTTTTTATGACAGTGTCAAAGGCTTTTGCAGGTCGAGAAATATACTAAGTATAGGTGTTTTTTTATCTAGCGCATCATAAATGGTTGAGATTAATTTATAGATAGCATCATCAGTAGATCTAAAACCATAATGATTATTTGATAGAATTTTAAAGATACTGGTCTATAATTACCAATACCGTCAACTGGGGCTACTTTGTCATCCTGGAGTAACTTTGTCACCTCGGACGAACCATTTTGTTTTTTTTTCTTTTTCTGTGCTTACTACTATTTTTTCGGCACCGTTTTTCTATTGTAACAGGTACTAACTAAAGAACAATGGTAAGAAAATATGTGAAAACGCCGGGGTCTGGAAATTATCGGAATTATACCAAAGAGGACGTCGAAAAAGCGTTGACATCTGTCAAAAATGGAATGTCCAAAAAAACAGGCAGCCCTTTTGTTTAAAATCCCATGGTCTATCTTGTAAATAGAACACTTGGAAGATTAACAGAAAATTCGGTCGCCCCACTATTTTATCTCAGCAGGAGCAGCAGGTCATTGCAGATACTCTTGGGCAAATTGCCAACTGGGGCTTCCCATTAACCAAAGTGAATATTCGAGCAGTAGTTAAAAAATACTTGGATAAACAAGGTAGAGTAGTGCGGGTGTTTAAAGACAATTATCCAGAGGAGGATTTTGTAGAAAATTTCGTAAAACAGAACAACCTATCAGTGCGGATGGCTACAAACATAAAGCGAGCGCGATTATCCGTGGACCAGCCGATGTGTTAGAATTTTTTAATTAATAATATAAAACACGTTATTTTAAATGCAAACCCTAAAAACATATACTACTATGATAAAACAAACATAGCTGATGACCCTGGCGCCAAGAAGGTAATAGTACCAAGGAACTTCAGGAGGTTGAACGGGTCCAGAACTATTCACGCTCTTGCACTAGCATAATGGTGGCTAGAAATGCAGCTAGTCAATTATTGCCTCCAATGGTGGTGTACAAGAGCGGCAATTTGTGTGAAAATTGGTGCACAGGAGGTCCTACTAGAACCATATATGGAAATACAATTTCAGGCTGGTTTGACATGAACCAGTTTGAAAAATGGTTTTTTAAAGTGCTGCTACTGCATGTTCAGGAAAACAAACCGTTATTATTGGTGATAATTTAGCGATCCATTTTGCTCCTACCGTTATATAAGTTGCCAAAGAAAACAATATTTATATGTGTTTATTCCCGGCCAACACGACCCACCTAATGCAGCCTCTAGATGTGGCTGTTTTCGCTTCCTAAAAAGTAAGTGGCGCGAAATTTTAGGACGGTGGCGAAAGGAGAACCATTATACAGGCACCTTGCCTAACGAAAAATTCTCCATGTTACTTGCAAAGCTCTGAAATCAGATCAATGAAAGCGTTGACAAAAAGCTTAAGTCTGAGTTTCGGACCACAGGCTTACATCCCATGGACCCAAAGGAAGTTTCTCGCACTCTTGACGCCAGTCTGGTCGACATGTTAAAGGAAATACGGGGCACATCAGACGAACAGAAGAACCGCAAAAGAGGAAAGTAGTTTAAGCCTGGGCAAGAAATGAACAAAGAACCTACACAGGTAGTTACGCAGGTTGTACCTGAAGACATATTATGGAATGAGGATGGCAAATTGCCTTGTTTTGTTGCTCAACCGGAGTGTCCGGATGAAAACGTCAATGTCGGAGCTTCGACTCCGGTGATCCTTTGAAAAAAAAAAAAAATACAAAACCCGCTCCTAAACCGCCTAGACCAATAAATATAACGAAAAAAGCTTTAAGGAATCGCGACAACAACAATTCAAAGTGTAGAATATGCTTAACGGAATTTAAAAACTACTGCAGCACCCTCTAATAGATTCAGTAATTACGATGTAGAAAATGGATATGCAGAATATGCAATAAGGGGAGCAAAGATCCCTATTTTGTGTGTTTGCGCTGTGAAGATGAGTCCAAAGAGGACGTTTTCGGTGATAATAGTGATGATGACGCTACCTTTGATCCTTCACAGCAATAAAACCGCTAAATGATTTTTTTTCAAATAAGTTTTTCTTCAATGTTCTTAGTTTATAAGTTTATAAAGAATGTATAGTTATTTTTTTACAGTTACCATACGGTTACCATTAAGCCTTCAATATGTTAAGTAAATAAAGTTTATTTTTTACTAATAGCCTGGTTTTTTGCTTAATTTTTTTTAATACTACCACCCACTATTTTCTACGGTCATCTTTATACCGGGGCTACTTTGCCACAAAACTGAACAGAACGAGATTTAAATCGTATTTTCATTAGGTGACAAAGTAGTCCCAGGCCCAGGATAACATTGTCACCCTAATTTTTATTTGTTTGTTTATTATTATTTTTTTTTTTTTTTTCGAAAAATAGGTAAAAATATGAAAATTTTCACCGACCATTCGATCCGCAATAGTCCATCTTAGTGATGAGCGAGACTGATTTTGGTCTTGCGGTCTTAGTCTTGGTCTTGATCTTACCAAGACCAACTGAAAGCTTGCAAGACCAAGACCGAGTGTGCAAGACCAAGACCAACACGGTCTTGGTCTTGGTCTTGTTTTGCTCATCACTAATCCATTTGGTATACTAAAATTTATTTGAAGCAATTGTCCTAATAATTAAGATTATATATTAAAATATGTCACAAAAACATGACAAAATAGCCTCAGTTGACGGTATCAAGTTTACTTCAGCTTTTGTATAGAGGTTTTATTACAGAACACTTCAGTACTTTTGGAATTTAGACTTTCATTTATTAAGAATGTTAAAGGACGAACACTTTCTAAAGCAATTTTCTTTATAGTTTATTTCCTTATATGATCAATAAACCTTTAAAATATACTTGTTCATCATATCGAAACACATGAAAAACAAGATGCACGTTATAAAATAAAAAATTATCCATAAACTTTCTTAATTTAATTATAATCACATAATAATTAAAACTTACTATAACTAAACGCAAACTTAAAATTGAAATCCTTCCTGCTTAGCGATTCCGTCAGTACATAGTGCTTTCTTAAGATTACCTTTTGCCAGATAAAATATATAAGTAACTTGCATTCTGGGCTCTTTTAATTAAAAGATATAAATGAAGATGACGGCTGGCACATTGCACGTACAGAAGCGTAAACGTGTTTCTTTCACGAAACTTACATCTTTTATACTACTTTCCACAAATCAGACACAATTTTCACTATTTTCAGTAATTTAATATCTTTTTGTGCGGCTCTGCGGTAAAGTTTTGTGACAAGTATACCGTGGACTATAATTTTTCCGGTAGGGCAATTTGTCAACTTGTCGAGAAATTAATTACGGAGTGTATCTCGACTATATTTTATACTCTTTTTCTATTTTCCAGAATCATATTCATTCGTGTTATTAATTAAAGTTAAATTAATATAAGCGGAATGTATAAAGTTGGAAATCTTTGATATAATTTTAATTAGTGGCATTTTTGAATTATGAAATATTGCACTGTTGAATCAGTTTCGTTTGGTACAATGTCTTTAAAATAATTATGGTTTTTTTGACGATATGTATCACAAGACTAGTGTTCTATAAAATCAATATTCTGGATATTTGATTATATTATTAAGGTCCTTTACCTATGACTGTCAACGAAAAATGTTTACCTTCTTACACTTTTCCTTACGTTTCTAATAATGGGGCATGTTCAAAAATTTTGAATTTTTTTTTATTAATAATAGAATTCAAAATAAAGCTATATTTAAAAATTTTTTTTTCTATTCATTTGCCCGAGTTATTAATTTTTTTAAATTTATGACTTCACCGGGAATAAACCAATAGGAACTAGCCTCACAACGTTACCAGTTAGACGGTATACGAAAAGTAATATACGTTCGTTTGTGTGCACCGTCTTACTTTTAGACTTCTAAAATATCGTAAAACAAATATCTTTTGAATATAAAATATCGAATGTTTTTAAAAGTATTATTTATGTTTAAATTTTCACTATATTTATGGTTTCATTGTTTTAAAAAACGACAATTAAAAAACAAGAAAATGGAAATGCGGCAGCACTGCAAGTGTCATCTGTGAATCAGGAATTTTTGTGTTGTCAATCAATAATTATGCAATTTTGATGTTTTTATAAATATTATGAGTATTAAAAAAATGTTTCCTCCCAAGATGTAATAATGATTTACGTTTTACATTTATTATTAAAAATATTTATTAGTGTTGCTAGAAATATGAAAAGACCAAAATTATTTTCATTACACAGAAATGTTTCAAGGAACAGCTAAATTATTTTGTTGAGGTTTGTATCTATACTCTTTATTAAAATAAAAATGTTTTATTGTAATTTAATTATTCAATTATCTACCATTGTAGTAAAGATGTTTTTTTTCTTTTTTAGATACCAGATAATTTTGAAAACTCTTCATTTTTTAAATGATAAACTTTTACATATAAGAAGTGGATAGTACCACACAAATGTCTCCACAGTTCTTGTTATTCACCACACAAGAGCCAGCTCACTGATTCTACCAAAAAGAGAAAAACAGAAAACAAAAAAAAAATGTTGACTGGGAAATAACCGTCTACTAGAGGCATTTTTCATCTCTATTTAATAAACATACACTGGATCTTCAAGATGCAGCAGCAATTTCTGACATTTGCCCCTTCAGTTAATTCAAAATGAGCCTACTATAAGTTCGAAGGTGTATATCCTAAAACCCCTTCTGCAAGAACCTGCCTCGAAACCTCCTGAAAGTTTTAAAGATAGTGAAGTTTTGTCTGAATCGGAAGAAACATCTTTAATATAATGAGCAGGATCTTCAAAACCAATGAACTTTCAAAATTGAAAATAAAACGAAGGTATATTTAGGATTGCCCAACAGTGTTTTTAATAAAATCCTCAATATTTATGAGAAGGAAAGTATAGCTTACATAAACCTTTTACATTTCTGTGTGAATTAGTGGTATTTTTAACTTAAAAGAACTCATTTTGTAAGACCAAATAATTTAATAAACTGTTTTTTTTTTTTATTAATTTATCATATTTCAGAGATTATAATAATTGTATATAAACATTGTATAAACATTGTATAAAAAATAAAAATAACTGAATAAGATAAACGAAGTAAAAACACTTTATTTACAAATAATAAAAAATATATACACAAGCCCTAACAATAATGGAGATGTCAAATGAAAATGTCCTCTAAAGATTCATTATCAAATTCAACTTGTTATCGACTTCATTATTTACTTCAAATGTGGAAGAAACAATGCAAAATACTTTATGTTCATGTGTAATTATTCCGTTTACTGGGCAAATATATCCTTTTCTCAAGTTATTCATGAGAAATCGCATTATCTCCATATACTTGCTTGACAGATCTATAAATAAAATATTTAATAATGTGATGAATTTTTTAGTATTTTGAAGAGTACATTTTTATGGATTCCTATTTTTGCAATTTTTATTACTTTTCTGTTTCAAATTATTTCATAAAATATTATCGTAGATTTATTCATGTAAATACTAGACATGTGTATAATAGCTGTAACGGAAAGAGTTTGTTTATTTACAAAAAGTAGTCATTCATTCACAAAAATGTACTCATATTATAATTATTTACAAGACATATAACAAGTAGGTAATCCTCGACCAAATAAAAATAGTATTACAGTAAATACATGTGCACTACCCTTCTAAATAGTTTTAAATGTTATATATAGTTTTAATTTTTGAGGTAGGTAAATTGTATGAATTACTGTTTCTCAGGTAATACATAATTATATTTTTACTTCTAATTATAGAAATAATACCAACAGCACAGCTTTAAACGTCGCTCTCTTGCTCAAATTACAGATTGGCCCTTGTTGCTCCAAAGTACAGATATATCGTCCCAATTTCTAGTGGTACATTTGTGAATATCAGTGTACGCACGCTAACATATATATTATAAGAAATATATATTTTTCTTATAAATATAAATGAAGTAAAGGGTAAAGGTAAAATGTTTATTTTTGAAAAACTCTTACTATTCGACAACCTTAATGACCTGAGATAAATATGTTTTTACTATAAGGTGTATTGCTCCATATAAACTGTAACTACTATTAAAACAAATTATAAAAAAAGTCTTACATACCTTTCTGTCTTTTATAAACTGAGTATTGTTAAAAAATGCAGTAATCATCACGGTAATCATATCTTGGTTTACAATGGGTAAAACATTCGAACCAATTTTATAAATCCAACTGACAAACTCATATTAATAATAAAATTAAACCAATTAGGAAAAAAAGAAGAAATAAATCTAGAATTGAGAAAAAAAGTAAACCAAACAAAAATTAATGTTAGGTTAGGTGGTGTCAATTTTAAGTGTCACTTAGATGTGCGTTCACTTCGACATTCTGTGTGTCGGTTTGTTCGTTGGTTTGATTCTATATAACAAAAAAAAACTTCGACACAAGTTGATTGGTCTATTCTCGATGACGTACAAATTTCAAATTTTAAATTTAAATTGGTTTTAATAAAAACATTTTTAGTTTTTTAACAAGCTGATAATGTAGAATAACTTGTATAGCGACTAACTGTTACAATATAATTTATAAAACAGCATGCAAAATTCTATGCATATGGGCGCCGGCACGATAACTCTAGAACGAAAAAGCAGTTCGTCTTGTGGTTTTGATTTTCTTGAATAATTACTTTTAAGAATTCAATGAATTTTCGGTTTACTTTAGTTCTTTAAAAATCAATGTTTTTAAAAATGCAATTAATTTCTTATTAAGGCCAATTATGCACCCTTACTGATTTCACTACATCAAATTGTCTTTGTTATGAATAATTTTCCAAATTTTTTTAGAATCTACCGACATTTTTGTTTTTTTTTTGTAGAAGCATATGTTTTATTTCTGTAATTTTTATACTTACTCTCATGTTTAAGACAAAGGTTTTTTTATTTTTTTTTTTAACTAGTCTCTATGTTTATTTATATTAACTCTGAGATAATCCACTGTTTAATTTTTTTGATTTATT